GTCTAAATATAGATGATTGATATTAGATCCTTTTCTAAGCTCAGGGAGAGACTCAGTAAAGACACCAGTTTCTTAAAGAGCATGCAGTTGTCTTGGATTACCATCATTTCAGCATCAGTCAGCAGAATTAATTGAACTCAGTTACTTACAATGTGAGCAGCCATGTTTGCTTGCAACTTCAGTGAGAATGGAAAATTGGACAACAGTGATAAAAAATTCACTCAGAGATTAAAGAAGCATTTGCTTGTGATTAGTTTGATTTATACTGAGCTTCACTCAGGAGGCTCCTGTGATTTCTTCCTTCCTACATATTGTACATTTATGAAACACACACACCATATAACATTATGTACAAGATATACTGGTGAAGAACATGATTATTACTCCACACAAGTGCAGTCTATTCAGAATGGCAAAGCAGTAAAAGATGAGCTGTGCGAATAATAAGTGACCTTATTGTCTCTCCTTGGCTGCTCAGTCATCATAGAACTACTGACTATTCAATTAAGAGAAAAGAGTATTTATCTTTTTGATGAGTGAATGGCTGGAGAAAGTGGTTCTTGGATAAGTGAAACTTACAGAGAGAATTCATTGAGATGGGTGCTACCTTTTCACAAGTCCTAAGTTTGGTCTGTGCATTAGGCATTCCCACTATGTATAGCTTTAGTTTAGGTTCTTCATCCTCTTCAATTTAATTCCTGTGAGTAGGAAGCCTAGGTAGAGAATATTGAGATTTAGAAAAGATGTCAGTGTCAAAACCTCAGATGATTAATATTACTAAGTTCAAAAACAATAAGCAAAAAGTTTATGTGAGAGTTCAAATTTGTGAAAGATTGTTCAGATGGTGATGGACATTTGTTTCCATTTCTGCTAATTGAGTTGTACTCTTCCTAACACTTGTTAGATACGATAAATTCACCAAGGAAAGTATGGCATCTCTTTAGAAATGCTAGAAACTGTATTATTTATTCATTTTTGGCAGTACTGGGGTTTTAACTCAGGCCTCAAGTTTATTAGGCAGGTGCTCTACCACTTGAGCCATGCCCCCACCCCACCCATCCTCTTTTTTTTTTTTTTTTTTTTGCTTTAGTTATTTTTCAGATAGGGTCTCACATTTTTGCCCAGGACCAGCCTCAGAGTGTAGTATCCTGTCTGTGCCTTCCAGTAGCTGGGTTTACAGGTACTTGCCACCATACTTGGGTTGTTGATTGAGGTGGGGAGGTCTCACTAACTTTTTGCCTGGGTTGACCTGGAACCTCCATGCTCCCAAAATCCACTTCCCAAGTAGCTGGGATTACATGTGAAACCACATATTATTGGCTATCCAGCATGGCTTTACTTTGTTCTCCTGGAAATAAGGTTTGACTTTTGACCTCACTTAGGTCAGTTCAGCCTAATTGTTAATTGAACATTCTAATTTTCAGATTGGAATATATATTTTTTCTATTTGTTTAGTGAATTAAGAATGTTTCTGCCAAAATTTAGTGTAATAAATTGATGTACTTTTTTTTTTTTTTTATAAAGAAGACAGGTCTTTCTTGTTGTCAGGACTGACTTTGAACTCAGGTGATTCTTCTGAGTAGCTGGAACTACAAGCATGTAGATCTTAGATCATAAGATCTAATAAAATATTTTCTAAAACCTACAATATCAAGGCTCTTGAGAATAGCAAACTACAAATTGTGCTCCCTGGCCTTATGGAACTTGTTTTGAAGTTGGAAATAGGTTGGTGATAAGTTGCAGATGGTTTGTATGTCAGGCTTCAGTTTTATTCTACATGGTAGGAAGCAGAAGACCTTGGAAGCTTTTCTACCCTCATTTTATAAATAGGACATTGACATGAATAAGACTCCCTAGTGTTATTGATAGCAGGATTCACTGTATTAGTTAATTTTTTTGTTGCTGATAGTATAATACCACAGTCTGCATGAGTTATAAAGTGAAGAGGTTTATTTTTGGCTCAGTATTTTGGAGGTCCAAGGTTGAAGGGCTATACCTGGTGCCAACCTTCTTTTTGGCAGAGTTGCAAGGTGGTACATGGCATCACATGGGAAGAGAGAGGGAGTGTATGTTTGGAAGGGGGATGTCTTTCTTGTGCTTTTTCTCCCTCATAAAAGTCACCAGAATTTATTATGGGGACTCCTGCTTTTCCTCCCTTATAAAAGTCACCAGAATTCATTATGGGGACTCTAATTTATCTAATCCTAATCACTTCTCCCATGGTCTACTTAAAACACTATAGTTATGAGATATTGTGGAAACTTAATAATGAAGATTAAATTTTAGTACATAAACCCTTAGGGGACACACTTGAACTATATCTAATAAAAGCAGTTGCCATTTTGGAAATGTGAAGTTAGACAAAATGAGGAGGAATGTATAAAGTCTGAAGATAGGGAAGGTCTTTAGTAAACTCTGGTGGTAGACAATAGGCAGGATCATCAGTGTGTGGACTAGAAGGAAGAAGAATGGAAGAATTTGACAAAATTTAGCAATTTCTCTTACATGTGGTATCCAAGAAAGAAGCAGAATGCAAGGAGCCATACAGGTTTTCTGTGTTCACTGATCTGAAAATCAGGGTGACAAGAGTAAAAGCAGTCCTAGAAAGAGATAATTCTGAGAATTTGGTTTTGAACATCTTGAGATGACAGGATCTCAGGCTCTAGTAGACACTTGAGCAAAGGAGTTAGAAGAGTTTATTTGGCTATAACAGTATCTTTGATGATTGTTTACTTTCTATATTGTTTATTACCTTTATATAACTGCTCGACTGGAAGTATTTAAATTGCTTTTGTTGTGTACGTTTAGAATAAATGGTTATAGGTTTTCGGTGTTTCTGTTTTAAAGCTACTTATGAGGATGGTAATTTAGCTGTAGTTTTATTTCTGGTTAATTTTATATTTGTACTTGTCCTTCTTGACCAAAATAGCTAATAGCATGAACTGTTCATAATGTTTATACTTTCTTTCATTATCTGGACTCCACATTTTAATTTATCTGCTCATTGTAGTGAATGGATTTCCCTTGGTGTACCACAAGCAAAGCCTTCCAAACTTGACTCCTAAAACTAAGATTAGACTTGTAACTTGGTAGCTTTGTTTGAATATAGATAGACTTTGAAAACTGGCAGGAATGTTAGCAGGCCTTTGAGATAGATCATGTAGAATAACTCCATACTTCTCAGAATAGTCATCTGAAGTCATGGGGTAGTAGTAGCTACCATTTATTGAACTATTACCTCATGTAATCACTCAAACAATCCTGTAATATAAGTGAATTGACCTTCCTAAGCTACACAGGAAGTGGTAGCATAGTTGATTTTAGAAACTGTTTCCTTCATAAGTATACTTTACAGTTTAAACAATTAAATTCTATCCAGTAGAAAAGAACTGTGTTTTCTGCTATTGAATTAAATGTTTTCTTCATATTTAAATTAATAAAAGAAATAACAGTTGTTATACTAGCCCACTCATTAGTAAATATAGTAGAACCATGTAAATGTAGTAAAACTAGTAAGATAGATACGTTTGTGAAGGTCTGTGATGTGGGGATGAAGCATAGGCTTGTTCTTTCCCCATAGCTGTCAATACTGTTTTCTTGAATTTTAGATCCAAAAGCTTGTTCTTGTGTACTGGAATTGATCTGTCTTGATCATTACTTTGAAGGAAAAAATTTGTCAACTGATGCTAGTGAAAACCTAACTGAACATAATGGTGTATTTATTGTTTGGCCTCCAAATTATGAAATCTCAGTTCTCATTTAATGAACTGAGAGTTGGTTCATTTTGTGGTGTTATTGTTTTTATCAGGAAGTAATTTTACTAAAATGGTTTTGAAAACTATTAGTTATTTTAGCTGTGGTAAAATATTTATAACATAAAAGTTAACTGTTTTAAGGTCAGAGGGTATGGCATAAGTAGTAGAGTGCTTATGAGGCCCTGAGTTAAAATCCCAGACTGCCTTAAAAAAAAGTTACCCTATTTTAATAATTTTAGTGTATAATTGAATTGTATTAGCTGAATGTATTCACGCTATTGTGCAGCTATTACCATCATCTCAAATAGCAACTCTTCATGAAATCTTCAGTTTCTAGTACAAGAGGAATACTTGCTGCCTTCTTGTTTTGGTCCTGGCCTCACTCATCCTCTAGCAACCTAGTATTCAATGGAATCTGATGTACTTATTAATGCCAAGATTGTCATTAAAGTTAGAATGGTTTCTTTTGGTTTGCGCTTGTTTTGTATTTCTAGGTATCTATGAAAATGGCATCATTTCCTGTTTATTATAATTTTATATGTTCTTTTGGAGCAATGAAATATATACACATACAGTTTGAAGCAAATCAAACTAAGTAATGTAAATGCATAAGGATTTTATTGAGCAAGAGAAGACTGGGGATTGAGGACTGTGATATACCAAAAAAAGTCTGACAGTCAAATGTAAGAAGTTTCCCTCCTGTGAAATGCCTGAAGCAGGAAGCATGCCCAATATAAAAGTTATATGGGACTGTGATCTAAGAGAATTCAGTCTCCAATACTGGATGTGAACTGGATTCAACAGGAAAGATTATTCAGTAGATCCTCCCATTTGTTACCCTGTACTCAAACAAAAATACAGCTGTTTAAAAAGTTTTAAAAAATTATTTCTAGAAGTGTATAAAAGCCCCACTCAGATTACATTCTTTTTCTTCTGCTAAAATCTGAAGGTTCCTTAGCTACTTCTCTTTCCCATTCAAAACAATCACATAGTACTATTGCATAATAAACGGAGAAATTATCAGGAAGCCTTTCTCAGAAAATTATTTCAGTTTTAGTAGAGTAAGAATTTACAATAAAAATCATTTAAACTTTAAGTTTACATGTTAATCAGGGGAATTTTATGTTACTTTCATAGTATGTTAATAAACTTTTCTTTTGGTATGAGCAAAACTAACTTTTTTCTGTATTTGTTATTCTTTGTTTTTGAAAGAGTAGTATTCCTAATGAAATATATTTATTACAGCTAAAAGATGGCGGCAAGGCATCCCAGGCAAATGTAAGAATAGGCGATGTGGTCCTCAGCATTGATGGAATAAGTGCTCAAGGAATGACTCACCTCGAAGCCCAGAACAAGATAAAGGGCTGTGCAGACTCTTTGAATATGACTCTGCAAAGGTAAATTACTTTCTGTTTGGCTCTGAGAGAGAAAACTACACTGAAGAATGTGTTTGTGATCTGGTTTATGGTCAACTAAGAAACAGTTTCTACTACTATTGTTTTAGATAGATGAATAAAAAGCATAATGGCTCTTTATTTGTACAGTTGAGCAGTATGTGAATTGCTAAAAGCTATGGATTATTTCTCCATAAAAGGCAGGTATTATATGCTCAAAAATTATCTGTACAGTTTTAGAGAATTCTCAAATTTTTTAAATTTCTCAGAGTACAGGCTAAGAGTTCTTACTGCAGGATAAATTCTTGGCCTTCATATTCTGAGCACTATTTAAAAGAGTATTCTTTTAGGGTGTGATTTGATTCTTTTTAATTTATCTTTCCCCATTTTATTTCGAATAGAAAAAAAATTTTTAAGTATACTCATTTGAAGGCTGGATTTTTGTTTTTCTTTTCCTTTTCTTTTTTTCAATACTAGGGTTTGAACTCATGCCCACTTCCCCCAAGTGTTCTACCACTCGAGCCACACCCACCACCATCCCTTTTTGCTTTTAGGTTATTTTTCAGATAGGGTCTCATATTTTTAAGCCTAGGGCTGGCTTTGGACCATGATACTCCTCTATACCCCTCTATCTAGCTGAGATTCTAGATGTGCACCACTATATCTAGCTTGTTTATTTAGATGAGGTCTTGCTAACTTCTTTTTGCCTGTGCTGGTCTTGCACCATGATCCTGTTTATCTCTACCTCATAAATAACTGGGATTATAAGTATGAGCCACCACACCTGGCCTGAAATTAAAAAAATTGTTTTAAATTACTCTATCCTTCATAATAAAGTAGTCATTATATCAGTTCTAATATGTCAGATGTTTCGAGCATCCCAGCATTTGACCTTCATTAAAATCACCTGCAGTTAAAAGTAGTGATTCTTCTGCATCAAAATTTCTGAAAGTAAGGATTGAAAATTATATTTTGTTAAGTTCCTTATGATCCTAATAAATTATAAAATTAGATTCATTGTAATGTCTTAGGCTTAGTTTAAAGGAGGAAAGTGAAACAATGGAGAGAGGGTGATTGAATGATAGATTTGAGCCTTTTGGCCTGTAAGAAAGATAGCTTGATCATTTGCCAGGTAGTGATGTGAGATTTTCAATAAGTCTTATTTTTGATGATTACAGAAAGTGTTCTGTATTCTTTCACATTTGCAAAGCACCACCTACCCCCCCCCCAAACATAGTCTTCCAAAAATTGTCATACATATTGTGCATATTCAAAAGGGTAATAACATGTGGTATCTTCCAAATATATTTGGCTTTTTCTTGGAGTCTCTCATGGGACTGGTGTTCTTTGAAAAAGCTGCTGTGTTCTTTGCTACTGCTGTTCTAGGGATTACTATTTAAAGGATTTATGCAGGGTAAATTATAAAAAAAACTTTTGTACTTAGACTGACAGACTTATGGATCTACTTAACTTTCCAAGCACTTTCATCTTCAAGGGTTTTTTTTTTTAAATGAAGAAATCCCCATGCTGAGTCTATGATTATGTATACTTTAAGTTTTGATAGCTATTAGCTATAAATTTAAAAACATGGTCAATGAGAAAAAATAATCTGTTCCTAAAATAATTGTTTCAGTAGTGTCCTTCTGTTTTGTGTATAGAGAAATATAGCATAAAAGATGTTACTAAATAAATGAAAGTGTCCATTTTTAATGAAAGGTTTTTTTTTTTTTTTTTTGGACAGAACTGGGGTTTGAATTCAGGGCTTCCTGCTTGCTAGGCAGGAGCTCTTACCACTTGAGCCACTCTGCCAGCCCAATGAAAGGCATTTTTGCTAAGCATGAATTTTGAAAGGGAACCAATAATATAAGAAGCTTAACTTGTCTCAGATATCAACAAAACAAAATAAATACAGAGGATGATGGGCTGTTTTTCACATTATAAAACTGAAAGTTTAGACTGGGTGTCATTTCTTTAATACTAACCACCTTGTTTTCATGTTGTACTCCTTATTTTATAACCCAGGATCCAGTATCTTATTTTTGATTGAAAACACTAGGCCTCATAAGAACAGATGAAAACCAGATGTAACTCTGTTTGGATGCATTTCTAACTCAAACAGTCTGCTACTGACTCTATTAATAAAGACTTTTTTAAAGCTACTTAAGTATACAATCTAACAAGTTGATCTACAAAATCAACTTACTTATAAGCATTTGGGGATTGTATTTAGTCTTATCTTCATATTTCTGAATATAAATATCCAGGGACCCTAAATGTGAGGGAGAATTTTAGAGTTTTGTTGTTATTAATTATAATTCTCTTCATGTTTTTGGATATTTCTTGTGTTAGGTAATATTAGCCTTTTTAGATTTTGTATTTTTTAAAAGTCGTGTGTAACATTAAAAATGGTACTAAAGAAATAAATACTTTTACCTTTTAAGGAAAAAATACAGAAGATTTATCTTTGAGTCTTTCCTTTATTAAAGCCATTTTTCTCCTTAAGCTGACTCTTTTTCTTATATCATAGTAGGTATTTACAAATTTAAGCAGTGTCCTTAACTGGCTTCCCGTCACTTCCTTACCCACCTCTCATCAACCAAACTGCTCTACGTTCTCCTTCCAAATTGAATTACCTGTAACACTACTTTTTCTATACAACTCTTTTCTTCATAAACATGTAGGGTTTTTTTTCATGAACATACCATATTTTTCCATGACCTACTAGTTATTAGTATGATTCAGTTTTCCTCTAGAGGCCTCTTCTACAATGGTACATGAAGAATCTTCCTTCAAATATAACTTAATAAGGAAGTAAATGAAGTATAATGGGAGAACAGGAGAAACTGAAGTGAATAAAGATGCAATTTCAAGGGATAGCTAGTGTCTCTTGATCCAGCAGGAAACTTGGGAACAAAATTGTACCATCCCATTTTCTTACCTTTGAAGCAAGAGAATTGGGCATCTGTACCTCCTCCCTTATATTTGTTAGGGGTTGGCAATCAGCTACCCTGGAAGGGGTGTGAGGATGGGGCAAGAGGACTACGAGTTTCTGTTGTTTACACAAAAGCAGTACAGAGAGCACATGGGGGATGAGTATACCAAACTTCCTAGAAGGGTTTCTTGGTTTCCAGGCTGGGCTCCAAAGCATAAACTTAGATTCTGTCCAGGTCAGAACCCTGTTCAGAATATTTATGTTCTCTGTAACCTGGTTCCATTCAACTTGTCTTCTTCAGATCCCTATTAATCATCATTGAATACCCTCTATTGCATTTAAGTATGTCCCTTACATACTTTTGTGCCCTCTCATGAAATTTGCTTCATCTGGAATGCCCACTACCTGTTCACTGCCAATGCTATTCATTTCAGCATTTAATTATACACTGAGTATAAGCAGAAATAACACAGTTGATTCCATGAGTCACATACAAATAAACCTAAGTAATTTATAGTCATACCTAATGCTGAAGATGTTAACTAATCACTCCATATATATTTGTTCTATTTCTCCAGCTCGGCTTCTTGAATGCAAAGACCGTGCTTTCTGCATTATTTGTATTTGACAAGATTGTGTACAGTTTTGTACACAATTTGATACCTAATGAATAATTATTTGTTATGTAACAGCATTATTTATCAAACCTGGAATAATTTACTTATTTCACAAATATGTATGAACTTAAGCTATATGCCAGGCATTTTTGTAAACACAGGGAAAAAACTGAACAAAGCAGACAAAAATTCCTGTCCTCATAGCACTAACATTTTAGTGGACAATAAACAAGAAAACAGAATTACAGTATATCACATGGCAATAGGCATTATTGGCAAAAATAAAGCATGTAAGAGAGGTAGGAAGTACAGAGGTAGGGAAAGCCACAGTGAGGCTGTTGGATGTCTGGGGCCTGAGAATTCCAAACAGAGGGATGCACTGGTGCAGCGGCCCTTGAGAGCAGAGGAAGTGAAGACAGACTGGGAAGAAGTGAGGTCAGAGAAGTAGTAGAAAGGGGACAGAGGTGGGATGGAGCTTGTGGGACCTTTTGGGTCACTGTAAGGTTTGTAATATAATTTATGCTTTCCTAGACGTATGAAAAACATTGTGATGTAACCTTGGGACATTGTAACTGTTTGGTCAGTAGTTCACCTATAAATGTATTTTACTTTCATCAGATTAACTCCCTCTTTTACTTCTCCTTCCACTTTTCAACAGCTTACTGTGTGTTTTGTTATACCATCTTTATACACAAATAGGCAGTATATTTTGATACTATTCACCATCATCTTTTTCTCTCCATCCTTCTTCAGTCCTCTCCAAGTCCCAGTTACATTATTTCAGCTACTAAAAGAAGAAATTTGCATTCAGAAGGTTTAATGTCTAGTAATTATTAACTGTATTAGAGTTGGAGTCCATGAACATGATTGTTAAATATTTCAGTTGTTTCTGTAATTCTCCAGAAGACATTGGTAAACTTGCCACTAACTTACTGTGTGATTTTAGGTGGGTCACTAAACTTCTGGGCTTTAATTTTTTTTGAACTATCAAATTAAGTCATGGATGATTATAGATTCCCCTTCTTTCAGTAAAAGTTTAGTTCTTGTTCTGGTTTTTCAGCTGTAAATGAATAAATTCTCTAGAGGTTGCTACTAGATCAAACCAACTTAGTTTGCTTATTTTGGCTGAGAGAATCCGGAAATTGGACTTTCTTCATTGGAGTTACCTTAAACTGTGCCAGGTTAGCACAAGTGACTTGTATTACTCGGCTCACTTAAGGTGAAAGGTAGGTCGTATAGTATTCAAATAGTACTTAAACATATATACTTTAAACCATATATAGTTTTATACTTCATTTATATTTTTAAATAAGTCCTGTTGGAATAACAGAAAAAAAAATAGCTTTTCTAATTTTCATTGTTTTTTTACATTATTAGTAGTGGCATTCTGTGGGTTCTTTCTGTTTTTGTTTTGTTTTTCAAACTCCATTTATAATTGGAAATGAAAGATCTAG